GACCAATCACATTCACTTTATATGTTAAAGTCGGGCACCACTCGGGAGAATTCGGAAATGCAACGGTTGGAACAGCCGCTTCCCCACGACTCTAAGACTCCGAGTTACAGGTTGCCGTGGTGATTGCCGCCTTTCCTAATGGTTAGGCATTGTTTAGGTTCTTTTCATTCTGAACCGTCAGCTGATGGATGTTTTTGTTTGAAATGCTGATTTAAAGTTATTTCTGTTTTCTTTCCTCTTCCACTGCAGCAACATCAAGACTTTATGAGTCTAATAAATAAAATCCACCTGATTTAAGATCACTCTACTCTGTCATTTGTTTTGGTGGTTGAGGAGAAAATAGGTCAGAAAGAGATTCAGAAAACACACAATTAAATAAAGATTTATCCAAAACCACAGAGTAACCGGATGCAGGAAGAAACCAACTGTGATGAGTCGGCAGAGGAAGGGGTGGGGGGATGTGAGAACGGACCAATCAGAGACACAGGGACCACGATTTACATCAGATGAGCGACAAGCATCCCTTACTGAACCATAACCTCTTTCATTTGTCCACAGACGTTGATGAATCAGCTCCACAGTTAGCTGCTCTAAATGTTGCATTTTGGCGTCAGTTATAAAAGTCAGAGATAAAAAAAACTATTTTCCCAGAGGAACCAATAAAACAGCTGCTAATCGGTCTGATTTATTTGTGATTAAACAAAGAGAAAATTTTACCTTTTTTAAGCTTGCCTAAAGTTTTGTTCCTAAATAAAACATTAACAAAAAAAAAGTCTTTTAGGTGAACCTAGGAGACACCTTAGACTGTATTTATTAATATTTTTACTGGAAGACTATTAGACTGAATCAGTTAAAGCAGATTTTCTCCACAATAGTTAAACTCCTTTAACAGTTTAGAACAAAGTCCTTCTTTAGCAAAGTGACAAAAGCTTTTATAGCGACACCAGAGAACATCTGTAAAAGATGCCTGTTCAGTTGTTTGAAATGTATGAACCTCTGGTTTCCAAGGATACCAGCTATGAGGGGCGGAGCAAGATCGTGTTTCCTGGAGCTTTTTCCTAGAAGAGTCTGCCATGTTTGACATAACTAATTAAAGACTAATGTTTATATTTTAGGGAATTCTTTTATGAACATTGAAACCTTCTCTAAGTGATTATGAAAAAAACAGCAACAGAGAAGAAGGCAAAGAACTGTAATTGATGAACATTATCGCCCTCTAGTGAGGGCTGCAGGTCCTCCAGCAGAGAGACCAAATAGAAGCACATAATAAAATCCTCTCTTTGATGTAGAAATTGGAGATATTAAGATACAAATCACAGACTCACACAGAAAAGAAGTGAATAAAACATAAAATTTGAAAGAAGATATGTCTAAATAAATCTGTCCAGGGAAGTTTTTCCTACTGCTTTAGAGTTTAAAGATACAAATCCTAACAGTTCATAAAAAATTAATACTTTTTTTACTGGGTTTAATAAAAACAAAAAAATAAATTCACTGATTTAATTGGATTTTCCTTTCATCATTTATCAAACTCTAATGTCAATCATTTCTTTCGGTTTTTACATGAAATCTTAGTTTACAGTGTGTTTATAGCCACTTAATTTACATAACCTGCCCCAAAGTTTGAATTTATTTAAATTATTCCATTTTTGTTTTACTGAGTTCATATTACATTAAAAAAAAATCTAATTTCCTTGAGTTTAATTCTTAAATTTATAAATATCAATGTTCTTTTCAAAGGACCAAGTTACCACTAGTTGTCATGGTAACGTTGCTGGTATCCAGGTAAAAATCGGTCCTTAACTCAATCAAAAAGCAAGCAAACTGAATTGTGAATCAAATTGAAAATATTTGCGAAATTAAACCATGACTTCCTCTAGTTCTCATTAGTAAGCTCAGGAACTAAAAAAAAATTACTTTTATGATTTTCTAGGGTTTTTTTAGATGTTGGGTTAAAAACCAACCAACCGTCTTTGAATCCTTAAAGTTTTTAAAGCCAAATTTTGCCTTAAAACAAATTTTTACCATCTAGACGAGCGTTTCTAGGTTATTCTACCATTACTGGATAAAAGCATTCGATTTGCAGTTAAGGCAGCAAAATTCCAGTTTGTGAAAAGTTAAGGCTGTTTGCAGGTGTTGATTTTCTGCAGTGGAGCGCATCCTGCAGCAATTTCTAAATATCAATGCAGTTATTTTCTTTTATATGACAAAAAGGTTTCAGATGAGCTGTTAAAGGTGCATGCATTGAAGCAGGACCGGACAGAAACCAGGATAATGAGCAGGTAGGAGGAAAAGCTCCTGGTCTCGTTTACCTCGGAGCTCTCCAGGAACTGCAGGACGTCGGGATCCTTCAGCAGGATGGGATGCTTGACTGTTCTCATCAGATACCTGGAGCAGAGAAGCAACGCTGATCAGGTTCACCTTCAGGGCAGCGTCTAGGCCGTTAATGTAGGGCAGCTTCCTGTTTGACATGCCTCACTGGTGCCTAAAGTCTAACTTTACTTTTTAGCTATTTCACAAGTGTAAAAATCTACGTGGAGACCTGGGAGTTCAACCCAGAGAAACAATAGAGGTAAATCCTAAATCTGTATCCACAGTTCATGGTAAAAAGAAAAGAAAAATGTTTTCTAAATGTCCAGGAGTGAAGATTTTTGTCCTCATTAGGCGTTTCTGAGCGCGTTTGTCCATCAGCATGTAGTTCTGTCACTCTGAGCTCCATCAGCTGTCAGACTGACCTTCCTGCCAATCAAACAACATCAATAAAGGCCAACAGAAGGTCAGCCCGCCCCCCCGGCCCCCTCCTCTGTATTCTACATACCAACACCAGGATGTGTGCTGTGATAATGATGGATCTAATATTTGTAGTTTAACCTTTTAGCAGCTCAGATCATGTTTAAGTAATTAAGTTATTTTAACTCTGGTTTTAATACGTCGTTTAAAAAAAGAAAGATATTTTCTATTTCAGTTTGCCAACCATGCCTCAAATTGTGCGATATGCTAACTGTGTAGCATATCGCAGGCTACTGCGATATGCTAGGCTACTAGTTTTGGTCAGTATCATCTAGTGCTGCTAAAAAAGTACTAATGTGTAGTTAATCTGAGTTTCCCAGAGATACTGATGGTTAAAATATAACAGTTATCTCCATAATTAGAGAGTTAGTTCCTGATTAAAGCTAATAAATATACTATAAGCAATGCTATTAGCCTTTAGCAGAAACCAGCAGCTCTCACATTTTAGGGGTTAGGAGTTTATTTAGCTGAACGTCCCAATTAAGGTAAAAAAAAAAAAAAAAAAAAATAAAAAAGGTTAAAAATTGGGAAAAACCGTCAAAAAAAAGTAATCCTAAAAAAAAAAAAAGAAAGTTAAAAAGTTAATAATGACTCTGAAGGCGGAGGTCTTCAACAGGCGGTTAGCAACCCCTAGGGGGTCCATGGCAGTACTGCATGGGGGCTGCGAATATTTCGCTTAATTAGACTTTTTTTTTTTTTATATTCCCTCCCTGCAACTTTTTCCACTAATTGAAATATCTTTAAATCCACATTAACATGAATTCAACAGACTGTAGTAAACAGATAAATGGAGGCAGAAGATGTCTTTCAGTCATCAATGCTCACATTCAGAGACACACAGGAGCTCTTTCAAGCTGGGCACCGTTTCATTCACAACACCTGTCCCATCAACCAGGAATCAGAAATACTTTAATAATCCCAGGGAGGGATTACTTTAGTTACATTACTCCATCTGTAATAGAGTGACTATAGGACCAGTTTAATAGAACACAATAAATATAATCAGGGGGTCCCCGCTCCATCTCCTTGGCCTGGAAAACATTGAAGACCCCTGATCTAAAGTTATGTTGTACCAAAAAAAATGTGTTTATTTCACTCAGAGTATTTTTCATGAATTTCTTATAGAAGCACTTTTGTTATTTTTCTTTATATACACTGGTAAGTTGGCGTTTCTTGTTATTACATTATGGAAGAAAAACAGTCTCATTGGAATCTGCCTTTTTTTTAAACACCAAATTTTAAACACTCAATTTTTTTAGATATTGAATTCCTTACACTCAATTTTTATCTGGTAAAAATTCACCAGATAGAAATTCAGCTGCAAAAGTGTTGACCTTTTGGTGAACTCAAGCCAAAGCAATCTACACTCGATAGAGTCGAGCAGCTTCTAGCCAATGAAATTAGCTCATTTGGTCACGTGACACAACGGCTGCGCTCAGCGCTGTTCCCGGCTAAATTATGATTTTTTTTTTTTTTGTTAAACAGAATTACAAAACGTCAGTTAGCAACTAACAGACAGCTATTAGAGTTTTTCCTCTTATCAGACTGGCTAGTACAGCACCCGTCTGTTTGCTGCCGCCATGTTGCCTCTGCCGAAATGAAGAAGAAAAAAAGTTTGCCGCTGGCCGCTTCTTCCGGATCAAACCAAGAGCCTTGGCAGAAAGGGGTGCCGTACTAGCTGTGATCGGCTCAGTTGTTTCACCCTGTCTGATAAGAGGAAAAACTCTAATAGCTGACTGTTAGTAGCTAACTGGCGATTTGAAATTCTGTTTAAAAAAAATAAATAAAAAATTCCTCAGTCAGCCGGGAACAGCGCAGAGAGCAGCCGTTGTGTCACGTGACCAAACGAGCTGATTTCATTGGCTAGAAGCTGCTCGACTCTATCGAGTGTAGATTGCTTTGGCTTGAGTTCACCAAAAGGTCAACAATTTTTTTGCAGCTGAATTTTTTTTGCAGCTGAATTTTTTTGCAGTTGAATTTTTTTGCAGCTGAATTTTTTTTGCAGCTTAATTTTTTTGCAGCTTAATTTTTTTGCAGCTGAATTTTTTTGCAGCTGAATTTTTTTGCAGCTGAATTTTTTTTGCAGCTTAATTTTTTGCAGCTTATTTTTTTTGCAGCTTAATTTTTTTTGCAGCTTAATTTTTTTGCAGCTGAATTTTTTTACAGCTTAATTTTTTTAGCAGCTTAATTTTTTTTGCAGCTGAATTTTTTTGCAGCTGAATTTTTTTTGCAGCTTAATTTTTTTGCAGCTTAATTTTTTTGCAGCTGAATTTTGTTTTGCAGCTTAATTTTTTTGCAGCTTAATTTTTTTTTGCAGCTGAATTTTTTAGCAGCTGAATTTTTCTCTGGTGAATTTTTTTGCAGCTGAATTTTTTTCTGGTGAATTTTTTGCAGCTTAATTTTTTTTGCAGCTGAATTTTTTTCTGGTGAATTTTTTGCAGCTTAATTTTTTTGCAGCTGAATTTTTTAGCAGCTGAATTTTTTAGCAGCTGAATTTTTTTCTGGTGAATTTTTTTGCAGCTGAATTTTTTTCTGGTGAATTTTTTGCAGCTTAATTTTTTTTTGCAGGTGAATTTTTTAGCAGCTGAATTTTTTTGCAGCTGATTTTTTTTGTGGTGAATTTTTTAGCAGCTGAATTTTTTTTCAGCTGAATTTTTTTCTGGTGAATTTTTTTGCAGCTGAATTTTTTTCTGGTGAATTTTTTGCTGCTTAATTTTTTTTGCAGCTGAATTTTTTAGCAGCTGAATTTTTTAGCAGCTGAATTTTTTTCTGGTGAATTTTTTGCAGCTTAATTTTTTTTGCAGGTGAATTGTTTAGCATCTGAATTTTTTTGCAGCTGATTTTTTTTTGTGGTGAATTTTTTAGCAGCTGAATTTTTTTGCAGCTGAATTTTTTTCTGGTGAATTTTTACCAAATAAAAATTGAGTGTAAGGAATTCAACTTCTAAAAACATTCCGTGTTTAAAATTCGGTGTTAAAAAAAAAGGCAGATTCCAATTAGACTGTTTTTCATTACATCGGCATTAATTTTTGCCATCAAAATATCCATACTTTTCTTTTTTATGTTACAAAGGTAATAAGGTTTTGTCCTGGAATCCAATAACACAATTGGATTAAAATTTTAATTTTCACTGAGTTCCCTTTAAAGGGTTAAGAAGTTTAATCTAAATAAATATCCTGATTCTAAGCTCTGGTTTATCAACATGTGAAAATGTGTTTAATTATTGAAGCTGCTTCATTCTTTAATCTCCAAATGACCTGGACATATTTTTCTTTTTCCTCAACCTTTATTTAACCAGGGAGGATAAATGAATAATTAAACTACAGTCATTTTAGGAATATTAAGCAGGGCTTATTTATTTAATGTAGATTTTCTTTAACCATGTTCAGTGAGCTGCTGGGATTACCTCTTAATGTCTGGGTGCTATTGAATGTATGTGTTCTGAGGTTTAGCCCCCTTTCTAGATTGATAAAAGTTTGATGACCTGGCCGTGCATCATTAGTCACTAGTTAAACCACTTTAAAAACATTAAACTCTTATTTTAAACAAGGAAACAGGGTTTATATTTAACTTTATCCTAAAGCGTTTTCCTCATCCTTATACCTCTCTAACGCAGACCTCCTCTTCTCCACAAACTCGTTGGACGACTGATCCTCCTTCCCAACCTTCACTTTGGTCATTCCTGCAAAAAAAAACGACGCCCATATTTAAGAGAACCATAAAATAAAAAAGCATGTCATTATAATGTGAAGTAGAACTCGGATCGGCCCGCGCTCAGCTTACCCACAATGCTTTTCTCTGGTGCAGGAGGAACGATGTAGCCTATGTGCAGGTATTTGGAGGCTAGTTTGCTGTGCAGACCCAGAAAATCACTGAAACGCCTTTTCACTGAGACGTCTCTCTGCTTAAACAGAGACATGGAGGTCTGAGGGGGACACAGGGAGAGGAAGACACCAGAACTTTAGCAGAAACACATAAAATTAACCGTTTTCTGACCACTGACACCCTCCAGATCTAAAAACAGATAAAAATTGTCATCAGGTAGGTTTTTTCTCCCATGTAGATTCATATATGATCTGAATCGGAGCTAAAACCTTTACCTGATGAAGGTCTTACCTTGGTGGTCACCTTATAGGCCATGTATGCGTTCATCCCGTCACCTGGAACACAGAGACCAGCTTTAGCTGCTTCCTTTACGCTGCTTTAAAACAGAAAACTAAGAATCTGACACAGATTGGCAGAATTATTCAGTTCTGGTAAACTGGTTAAAAAGCAGCTATAAACTGTCTGTGATCTTATCTTTAAACATGGGAAGTGGCGGTTGGTTGGTGAACAGATGGTTCATCTGGGCAAACAAAAACTGAATGGATCAGAGATCTGCACGAGATGAGCTGAAGCTGTAGTGACAGTTCAAACCTCCAGGGGGCTCCAGTGTTCAACAGTCAGAACTGACAGAAGCATCAGCATCAGGCCGTCTCAACGTGTGAGCTTGTGCGTTCTCATGTGCTCGTGAAACGTCATCAGAATCAGCCCTGATACTGCTCCGATTCACAAGTGTCACTAGTACCCGATCCGTCCCGGAAGCACGACTCGTCCTGCGCCGTCAGCTCAACCAGATATACGTCAGGGTCGATTTTATTTAGTTAAAAAGACCTAAATGATGTTTTCCCTCCCCAAAAATAGTAAGCATATTAAAATATAATGTTTTAAAGGTTAATAATGTATTTCCTGAGAAAATAAATGCATTAAAAACCTTTCTGTTTTATCACTCGTTTCCCGATCTGCATCGGAAATGGGATCCTGCTTCCAGTTAGGCCTGTCACGATAACAAATTTTGCTGAAAGATTAATTGTCTCAAAAATTATTGCGATAAACGATAATAATGTTTGAAGACCTTTTTACACTGATTTAATGGAAATGATATAATAATGCAAGCATTTTCCTGCCACAGATAAACAGAACACTTAACACTGGAACTGGTTCACAAAATAAAACGAGAAATAAAAATCAAACGGACTCTCAGTCTCTGTTCACTAAAAATACACTTGAATAAAAACTAAACACAAGATAAAACCACAGTGGAAATAAAAACCTATGTACAAAATAAAACGTTTGTGATGTGCATGTTTTCCTGGGAATTCATACTGTCTATCAAATGTCTGCAACATTTTTCTAAATGCCGGATTTTATACAATATTAAATGGAAGCATTTCTTTAGCAATTAAATGAGCTACGCTGTCTATGAGTGCGCGCCGCTTTGCGTCGTCCTTGGAAGACGCAGACGCGCCATCGCTTGTACTTTTTGT